CCACTGAAGAATTGCCAGCGGATCCACCAAGAACACAATGGAAGCCACTTGAAGGTTTTGAGGACAACGAAGGGTATATATATAAGGGTGCGTGTTGAAGATCAGTTAATCAGACTTGTCTGTTGGCTTACTATCAGTCAGGCTGAGGGATATGTAGCCTGCCTTCCTGTGGCCAATCTTGTGAAGAATTCAGAAGCTATGCGAGCATTGGAAGTGGTGCGGAAAAGAGTTGGAATGGATGGAACAAAGGAAGAACCTATGTTCTGGCCGTCTGTGAGAGCAGATGAGCTTCGAGTCTTTGCAGCTTGGCTGATTAAACAGTGTGTTATTTTTTATCTTCAGAAGAGAATACTCATACTAACAACAGCTGAAGCGACTATCCCATCTCATTTGAGGAGATTTGGGGTCTGCTCAAGGTCGCCCACCTACTCCAAGTCCCAGCAGCATATCCTGTTGCACTTAGATCCTGCAGGGAACTGTCAATTGATCGATGGCAGAAACTAGCAATTTCTGCTCGATACCCTGTCTGGCATTGGCTTCCCGGCATCATCAATTATCTAATCCTTGACCATCCACTCGACAATATCGAAACAAAACATGCTCTTGCAATGGGTTTTAGAACTTTTGAAATCATTTGTCGGGCAAAGGTTCGCTTGCTTGACTTCCGACTCAGATGTGTGGCAGTGGCCCCAAATCTTGACCTTCCCCCCTCCCTTTCATGCTCACCTGCGGTACATGAACGCTGTCGGGCTGCCTGGCACCAGTTATGGACTAAAGATGTGCGAGACAGAGTCCTTCATCCTGACTTTCCCATTCCTCTTGAGACGCGTCAGATTCTTGATGTCGCAGCAGAGGTCACAAGTTACGATGGTGAACTCAACTCTCAATGCAAAGAAGGGTTCATTGCTGCAGTTCGAGCAAGTGGGCGCCTTGACATTGATAAAGCAGTGACAGATGCAGCACTAGAGAGTATCGTGGAACACCATCGAAATGCACACATGGACCGAGAGGCTTGGGAGGCGTTTGATCATTATTGATAGTTACATCTATAAACCTCGATTAGAATGTGTAAATGACGATGGAGAGACAACCAGTGACAATTTCAAGTGGCTTTTCCCTTTTGGTAAGGATGTAGGGTTAGGGTGCGCAAAAATGGTCTGCATTGGTGTGAATGCAGACCATTTTTGCGCACCCTAACCCTAGTCTCCCTTGTGCTCCCCTACATCAACCTGACATTCGCCTCAGTTTATCATAGCATATCTTGTGTTTTTATTCAAGTCCAGCCTATAGATGATGGGTGGGAGGCAGAGAGGATGACCAAACCCTTCTGAGGTTGTTGACAATGAGGAAGGTGTGGTGTTGATGGGACACAGGAAGATTGATCAAAGTCAGTGGTAGTGACAATGACAATGACGAGCAAGTGTTGGTTGATGGCAAAGAGTCAATATGACGTGATTGTGCTTGAAAATAAGCAGGTGCCGGTGTGGGAACAAGTCACGTGACATCTTTGAGTGCGCGCGCGGAAATGTCAATGTCCGCGCGCACAATCTCAGTATGCGCGGGGAACCCAAATACGGCGGGCGGGTCTCAAAAAGGTGCGCGGGTACGATTTTATTTTTTTCCAATTTTAACACTCATACTTGTACGCTACACGGTACGTCAAATTAGTATGCCCCGAATCCAACCTTTTCTCCGGGCTACGAGATGTTCGAGTTTGTTCATATACAGAGGGGATAAATTCCAGTGCAACTTAACACAAAAATCTCTCCTCGTCGACGATACTAACCACCCTCGCCCACGGCAAATTCAATTTTCAAGATCTGGCAATGTGATCCTCTGGCGGCAGTCCCGAGTCACGAATGCATGCCTTTATTTCAAGGCTCCTATAACCTTGAAGTCAAGATTTAGGCTTTTGAACCGAATGCTGCTCGGGACCACAAGATCATTCAAGGAACTCACGTGCCGATCAAGTTGCATTCTTGTTGCAGCCACAATCCTAGTTCCATCCAAGAGTATGAGAGATAAGAAAGATGAAGTGCGAGATGACCGTGGTGTTAGCCATACACAGGGCCTATAGCTGCATGGAACGGTACCGACCTTGATCAACTTCCTGTTGCTCCACTAGTCTTCTGATATCAAGAACCAGGGTTCTTCTATATGTTCTCGGAGACGCCTCTCGCCGTAGTCATGTTCAACCTGCTGAGGTTCACAAATTCGAGGAGAGCCTAGTCGAATTTGGACATGTTGGAGCCCTCGCTGACCATGACCTCCAAGCGGTACAGGTGAGCTTGCTATTTGCTACTTGATTTCTTTAGCGACAATAAAACGATAGGTCGAATGTGGCTCTGATATCGTGATCATCTTGTGGAGCAAACTCCAATACGCACGGTATCATATCGGTAGTCAAATAAAATCATACGGCGTCCTGGCGGCACGATGATCGGAAGTACTTGATTGGGCTCAGTATCTTACTCGCTATAAAGCTTGTTGGGATTCATGATCCTCAGGGTGATTCGGGCACTGAAGATACCCACGGATTACTCGCCTCAGACGTGTTATGAAATACAAGGAAAAGCGCTCTCTGTGAGTAGTCCAGAAGTCGTTGATCTTCATTGAATATCTAACGAGATCTTCCTTCGCCAGGTTGATACTCGCGTGCTCCGTATGGCTACGCCAAGTAGCGTCGTTCGAGGTGGAGATGCCCCTTCCGGATACCGTCACCCTCTCCCAACCGTTTACTTTCACTTGGTGTCGAGATACTTCGGATCAGCCCTCCGCGTACCTCCAGTTTGGAGCGTTCTACGCAAGTAGTTCCGTGACTGGACAACTGTTAAATGCCGGAGAGAGCACGAGAGGTGCATATACCATTACCCCTACTATAGCCGGGTGAGCGTTCCTCTGCTAGCCCTCGAATCATCTGAATTTTTCTGCTCAATGCCCTCATAGCGAGTTTGATCTACGCGGGCGAACTGGGTACTCATCAGATTCGGCTCAGTAAGCGAACTCCATCCGTCTTTGTATCATTTTTGAGCACTCATGGTTTCCCAGGTTAGAGGAGAATGTCTTCTTCCTCCCCCACAGAATCTACGTGCAGGGAGTTCATACACCTGTCGGTTACCCGACTGGTCCAATGCCGACACAGACAACGCCTTCAAATCCAACAAAAACAGGAACGACGGGCGTGGAAGGAACACAGATACAAACACAGACACAAACGGCGGGAGCAAGTGCACCTGCCAACACAGATCGCACCAACATTGGCAATATCAATACCTCCGCGCCGCCACCAGCAGGACTCCAGCCTACTTCTCCGCCTCTCTCCACAGCTAGGTATATATGCTCTCTCGGTGGCGAAGGAAGGGAACTCACAAACCTGGACGACCCGCAGCACGCCTACTAGCTTGAGTGTTTCCATTCTCTCCAACTCTGACACGGCGGCTCAAGGACTCGGACCAAGTGGACAAGTCGTAGGCACCGACACCAAATCGCAGGCATCGTCTCCTACAGACTCTGCGAATCCGACATCTGGCGTCGACCCTCCATGGGTTCCTTCCGGAACTGGGTAGGTTATGCTTCTGGTGCTATATTTGAACTGGTCCGCTGAAGCGTAACCGTAAGATTTGGTACTAGGACAGACAGAGCTCCAGTGCCACCAACCTCAACTGATGGTCTTGAATCGGACTCTACGAGCTCTCATCACACCGGAGCTATCGTCGGCGGTGTGATTGCGGCTTTGGTAGCTATTTCGATTCTCGTCGCCCTACTCTTGTGTCTTCGGAGACGAAAACAAAGTACGTCCGCGTGGTAATCTAGATATGCGTGACTTCATTGCAATTGACGCGTCCAACCATTCGACAGGAGAACGCCAAAGTCGGATCGAGAGCACCATTCGACCTTTATCGCCCTTGAACTACCCAAACATCACACAGAAATCGAGATTTACAAGTTCTGATCAGTTCAACGCACCTTCGCCTCAAGAAGAGACAGACCATAAGGCGAGAATCGAGGAGCTTGTTCGGTGTTTGGACGAATCACCGTCACTCGATCAACCCAATCGCGGTGGGGAGGAGGAAATTCCCCCCCACTTCAGGGCACGTTTCCAAGAGATGGCACAGAGAGTTGCGAGATTGGAGGCTGAGATTGAGTCGACGGCACCACCGACGTATGCGTCTGACCCAGGCACGCCAAGCAGGAGTCTAAGGGAGGCTTGAAAGACGTTGTTCTTCTAGGATTTCTGGCATACAATTGACCTGCTACTTTATAAACTTTTGCATCGGCTTGTTGTAACCGCACAAATCATCCTAACTGATGCTACACTCAGAAAGAAATCCACATCGACCATTGACGAGAGGCAACCGTACCTTCTGACTCAAGAGATACTTTCGTCATTTCGCGAGGATCACCTCTCTCCGAACCACAGATCTGAATGGACAAATTGTCTGATAGAAGGGGATATAATGTTTAGAAACCAATCCTAGCGAAGCAAGCCAATGTCATAGCGCACCTAGTGATATATCTTTGTCGACCTCTGAGCATTCCAAGGACCCAACTCTATTTGATGGTGGTGGTGAGAGAGCAAGTCGTTAGCGCTCAAGCGCTCATTGTCAACGAGTACGACATCATGTTACCTGTCCTGGAACCAATTAGCTACCGCCGACACGAGTATGACAATCACATACTGGGAGTTGGTTTTCTTGCACATGCATCATATTACCTGCATATCATCGAGGGTATGGGCTGGTATGAGTTAAAATTGTTGTCGCATCTTCGAATATTTATCGAGCGTGGCAAGGAGCTAGAAACACAAATCGGCGGATGATGTACTATTTGGCGGTGGTCCCCGGATCCAAGCGCTCCATCATGCATTATGCAGGGTCCTTCCTCAGGAACCGAGCTTTATATCGCTCCAAATGATCTCTTATTCTAATGCTAAATGGTCCAGTCAATATACAACATTGTAGACATGACACAGAGCAATCGGCCTCCATGCAGTCACGATAGGGGATATAGCTCAGTTGGGAGAGCAGCAGACTGGGGTGTAAGTACTTGCAATGTCGTTCTGAAGGTCCCGCGTTCAATCCGCGGTATCCCTAAATCGAATGTTGGCAGGAGTATTTTTGCTCCAAGAGGGCTTGTATTGGATGCGGGATGAGCTCAAATCCTCAGCTCGGGCTCTCACAACATTGGTTGGCTATTTGACCAATACATGTACATATATTGACTCTAAAGCTGTACGCAACCGCAAAGTGAGAAGTATGACTGATAACCAAGATAAAAAACAGAATGGGTAAAGCTTGGTGTAACGAGCACGGGCGTATATATAGCCGATGAAGATACCTGACGTGAGTTCAGACACCCGTTGATCAGTACGTTCGAAGAAAACAAGCCCATCTGGTCACTGGGTTTCTCTGTTGCTCGTGCCGGTACCCTCGGAAGCATATGTTGGTGGTGACATCTCGATCTCGGCTTCCAGCCTCGCAACTCTCTGCGCCATCTGTTGTAATTGTGCCTTGAGCTGCGGTAACTCTTCCTCAGGCTCAACACCGGAGGTCGTTGTTAGTGATCGGGATGATGGTAGGCGTCGCGATTCGTCTGACTTCTGATCTCTAGGTGCTGACATGAGCTCCCCAGCGCTGAATAGCCTCGACCTCTGGGCTGTATTCAGAT